CAAATGTTACTTCTACTGCAGCAAAGCTAACAGTCCATTGTAAGTACAGTCATTCTATGTAAATGATGTATTAAAGGCGATCAAGGGATGATGTAGGGGTTATGTAGTGAGCTCATGTTAGGTGTATCAAAATCAAATGAAATCAATTTAATCAACTGAATCTACTGAAGCAGAAGTTATTGTCAACTGTGAGTAGATTCTTTCTATGTATGGTGGATCAAATGCGATTCTGGGAAGCAGGAGTAATGAAGAGCAAACATTCAAGTGTACATCTCATTGTCAACATCCCGCTTTGAAGAAAACTATAAATTCACAGCGACACAACTTATGATGATAGGTTCATTTAATGACGTCTTTTCCAGATCCACCTGCTATACGAGTTTCTCCACGTAATACAACCAAAAACGAATCAAGAGATGTTACACTGAAGTGTGAAGTGGAAGGCAAGCCACRACCAACTGTAAAATGGYTTAAAAATGGYTTCCCTTTTGAAASAAAAGATTCAAGAATAACGTCTWCCATTGCTGGGTCGMATGAACGTTTAAACGYATCGCTCATGATTGAAAAAGTCAGCTGGTTKGAYGARGGCKTGTACGCATGTCACACATCTAATGGTGTTGGAGAAAGTGTATCTTCCACTGGAGCGATTTTGACTGTACGCTGTAAGTACAACCCARCCAAATTGTGTAATGAATGAATGTAGGATGTTTTTCCTAATCATAAGCGCTCTTATGATCTTCAGACACTCCAAAGATACTGAATTCACCGCTGAGTGTAAGCAAGGTTGAAAAMMATCCAGTAACGTTTGAGTGCACATTGAAAAGCAATCCAACACCACAGATTACATGGTKGTACAACAACAGTGAAAAGATCAACACAAGTGATACCATAAAGTACAGTAGTGTTACTAATTCCTTAACAACCAGGAGAAGTGTGGCATCTTTGACGATAAAGAGAGTGGTATTAAGTGACGAGGGTTCTTACCGATGTAAGGCACAGAACAGCCTTGGCAGTGTGGAATCTCAGCCAGGAAACTTGACTGTTTATAGTAAGTAGTTGAAACACAATTTGGATGGACTCATTGGGTGAACTGGATGGAATTCAGTCACTCAATTATTGTTATATTATCGAGTGTTTTTTGACATTTCTCAAATTTTCTTKTCCAGACGTCTATTTCCAGAGTTTTCCACGAGTAAATATTTGAGTTTCGCGTTCTCTATTACGATGTTTTAGCCTCAATTGTGTGCAAAATTTTCAGAAATTTTGATGAAAATCATGAAATTCCAGACTATTTCCATTGTCTTCTATACTCACGAATCTCTTGCATGATTTGCACGGATTGTTAGTGAATAAAAGAATTTATTATTTGGTTTAATTTTGAGGCTAAAACAGCGTAAAAAACGCTAAAAGGGTTTATTACTGTATACAGTACACACTATTACCTCAAAAAATTGACTTCATTGATAAAAATGTTTTAGTAAATTTATTGTTTTTTGTTTTAGTTTTACCAGAAATCATCCACAAACCAGGTAACATCATAAAAGTAGAAAACAATGCAGCAGTGTTTCACTGCAACGCTACAGGAAAACCAAAGCCTACCATAACGTGGCGGTTTAGAGGCGGTAAACTTCCAGAAAGTACCACAGACCAAAATAAAATAACAATTAAAAGTGTCCAGAATACTCCAGCTTATGAGGGTGTTTACACATGTATCGCAAGTAGTATAGCTGGTACCGATGAGGCCRATGGGTCACTTGTAGTAGATGGTGAGTCAATGCGAATTACATGTTTATAATTGGGATTCCTTTGTACAAAAAACGAATAATTAAACTGGCTCCGCACTATCGATACCGAGCATTCTGTATATACTGCATACACTTATTTCAACAAAACGTTGCTGGGGARAAACGCGAACGGCAATAATAAAGGGCGAAATAAAGGGAGATTGCATAGACAAAGGGACTAAAATTACGCTGTATTGAGCTTTCTAAAATACTTAGGATACTACGCGCGCTGTGATTGGTCGAAAACCATGTTTGATTACAGTATCAAAACACGCTCGCGCGCGTCAAAAATTTCTTTTATTCTTTTAATTTTAGAAAAGAAATAAAAGACGRAATTCCGTGTTTGATACTCTGATCAAAACACTTGGGATGTAGGGAGAGCACTCGAAAAGCTGGAAACCACTCCGCTACGCGTCGTGGTTTCCTACGCTTCTCTCGTGCTCTCCCTACATCCCGCGTGTTTTGATCAGAGTATCAAACACGGAATTTCGTCTTTWATTCCTTAAATAAATTCACTTTAATKAATGAAGATTAAATGGAACCAACGTTTACAGCAGACATCTTTTAAGAAGTGTAAATAAGTTATAATTTCCAATCAATTAGCAAAACCCATGGCACATTTCGTTCATTCAATCTCCGTTTGACAATTGCCATTCGCCATTATCTGCAACCTTTTTTTACACTTCTTTTTTTCAATTAGTTCCTCCAAAGATCAATAAAAAGCTGCCTCCGAAAATGCTTCTTCAGCTTGGTGAAACATTGAGGTTAAGATGTGATGTCATGGGCGATCCAATACCAACTTTTACATGGAATTTTACTAAGGCAGAAACAAAAAGAGATGATATTCTAGATGATCAGAAAAGCTCACTGTTAACGATTAAAGACATWGATGTCAAGAAGCACGCTGGTACTTACAGCTGTACTGCCAAGAACAGAGCAGGAATTGTACATGTCGAATCRACTTATGTTGATGTTAACGGTATGTGTAACTTCATCAGAGTGCGACTGGCAGAGATTGTTGCGAGCGGAAAGTAGGGTAAAAGAAACTYCGAGATGCTTTGAATCCCARAGGCATTTCATCCTGACAGCTTTACTCTCTCACCAATCWCTCCCGGTCTCACCCATCCAGGAATTTAGGCATTGCTCAATGCRATGCTGATTTTCGAGGTCTTTTCATCAGTTAAATTATAATGGAATTATTCAGCAATATTTCTTCTAAATTCYCATTCCCTCTTCGTCTAGACACACTGGACATTATTCACAARGAACAGCACAACATCATTGCAGATGTCAACACCACCGTTACAATAAATTGCASTGCATCTAGTCGAGTTGTGCCTATAAAAGTCASACTCACTAGAAACAATAGAGAACTGAAAACAAAGRAGGACCCGAACAAAGACGGAACAGTCGTCACTCAAAGGTTGGTTTTGAAACACGTGACTACGGGGGATTCTGGGAAGTATCTATGTGAAGCAAGTAACCGYCAAAAGTCTGTGAAGAGTGTAATAACGCTTGCTGTTAATGGTAAGTATTTCAAATCAAGGTAAAGACAAAGGARACGGCGGGAATAATAAGACTAGTATAATAATAAGAATCTAAGAACGTTAGCTAAAATGATAATTATACCTATAACATCATGTTAAAATGAAATGATAAACGGTACATTACGCGGTCGTGCCATTTGCATTAACAACTTGCGAGTTCCCAGTACCAATGAAATGCTTAGAAGTTTGATTAAGATTTCTTATTCACTTTCTTTTAGTGCCAGTTGAAGTCAAGATGGATGCAGTTCTAGATGACAAAAATTTCACAAAAGAGCTCGAAAACAAGAGCTCCACCCTGTACAAAAACTTATCTAGAGAGTTTGAAATGGAGGTAAGTGCTCATATATATATATATTTTTACTAAATTTAGTCGTTAACTATGTTGTGGGCTTGCGGGAATAAGGTAGCTTGAGGGATTTGCTAATCCTYGATGTCTTCATATGTATCAATGGGGATTGGAGGTGGAAACAATGTTCTCTTTCTCCCAAAGCCGCCAAGAATACTGGGATCTAAAAAATACAAAAAAAAAATATCACAAAGCATTCAAACAAGGGAAAARCACTTAGTTATATAGGCAAAAAACCGCACTTCTTACCAAACTCCCAGCAATAGTAAGTGATCCTGGCATTTACACCTGAAGTACCCTGAGAGCCCAAACGAGAGACATCACACTTGTAGTTCTTAGGCCTTGTCTTAACCTTGGTATTCTTACACTGTGAGTCAGCGGTCTTTTCCTCAGAAACCGCTACCCAGTTTCCTGTKCGTGCTTGGATTTCGGTTTTCTTAACAGCAAACCATTGGCCAGGATATCTGCACTCTAGTGTGATGGGTAATTTTCCCGTTGCTGAGGAGGAAATGGGCTAGCATTACGTAGGAATACAAATGGTGACGTCAATCTCTAGTCATATTTCAATCCTAGTATTTCATTCTGTTATTCAAGATAATGGCCTTGTWGTGAWAATGACTACTAKTGACTTACTTATACATGGCTGGTCTCCATGGGTTTTCAGACATCGATCTACAAGAAAAATATATAATTTTTAAACCTGAACATCCTATTGCGTGACGCAAATAGAGAGGTTTTGCGTGACACTAACTCTTTTTAAGTTTGGTCAGACACTTGGAAGCAATTTCTGGGAATTAGCATACGTTTTAGCCGTTCGTTTAATCAGACTCTTAGCGTAAATTTTATAGTAATTGAGCTCCAACCACTTCGTTTGTTACCCCAAGAACCAGGGCACCAAATAGGCGCCATATTTTGTAGGTTAGATTTTATGGTTTAATCGTAAACATTAMTTTTAGTGGTATTGTACAAATCTTTTGGACTGSTTTGATGTAAAAATCATTGTAATTACAATGATCCCTGATGAAAACTGCGACAGCTCAGTAAAAATAATAATGATGTTTTTATCACATCAAGAATTTGTAAAATCTTTCATCGTCTTGCAAGACAAATATTCTTGTTCTATACGTTCTAATGTCCCGTCAAACGAAAAAAATAGTTTGTTTACATGCTTCAAATTGGAAAATTTAACCGYCCAGAGATGGTAGGAATAATTCGGCTCGTTAGYTGACGTTTAAACTAAATTCCTACTTAGTATACTTTCAAATATTGAAAAGTGAAAGATTCCTTGAGCATAACATTTTAAATCTTTTTGAATCTTGAGATCTGTGAAATCTACAGGCTAAAGTAATAAATAGCTGAGACTTTTATAGCGTAATTTGTACTTAAAACAAATATTCATACACAATACGGCTGATAAATGAAGGTCCAAAATGCAAATGGGGTTATTCTGCACTTCCTTCGCCTTTCTAGGTTATGGCGCTCACACGCACTGAGGCAGCTACTGAACTTGTGCTATTAGCAAGCGAGTCTTCGTACTCACCCAGTGCTATCGATGATACAAAGCAAGCTGCCAAAAACACGAGTCCTCTTGTGAGCTTTTTACTGTCMATTTGTGATCAAAAATGAAGTCTTTGAATCGTAACTGAAGTGATTATTAAAACTATAGCAGTCACTGCCGTTAACTGAAAATCCGTTGGTCTTCTGTTTATTCAATCCCCAAMGGCTTTGTTACATAAATTTGCACAATAAAAGGACAAAGGATACATGGTCGAATAAACAGATTGTTTAACAAACTGTCGGTTTGAAATTGTCGAAACAAAGGGTTTGTGTACATATCTTTTACTAGGCGTCTCCAGGAAGACTGAAACTTAAGAAAATATTCTCTTTCCGTGTTAAATGGTCTAGCATGACAGGTGTGTTTTAGTTGAGAGATGAAAAGGCACTTTAACAATTCTATGTTTACCTAAGAGAATGTTTCACGTGCAGAAACAGAACACGTCACAAAAGTCTACTTCACGGTTCCGGCCAGCGCCATTTTGAAAGATGCCTTGCCTTTGCATCGAAGCGAGACAACTGCGCCATCAAGTGGTTGATCACGTGATCAGTTTTGGGACATGGTTTCATCTTAAGGAAGTACAAAATACTTAATTCTAATAATGTCTTGAATTTTGTGTCGTTAAGTTTATTTGTCGAGAGTTCATGAATTTTCAAAGTTTGCATCATATTCTGGCCTGAACCAGGCCTTAACATACTTGAGTTGAGCGTGCAATGATAGATACCTGTGAATTGTCTGGAGGTGTGAAAGAATGATTCTATTATTGCACGGWCGTCTCGCTTCGATGCAAAGGCACGGCTACCTTTCAAGATGGCGCAGGGAATYGTGATTGAGATGTCTTTTTAGGAGGACAACCYTTTCATAATCGGCTGTAYATAATAAAGTTTGACTACCCACGGTCATTATACAAATTAATATAGAATACACGGTAGCTCACGCAATATGACATTTTTGAAACTTTATTATTAAATTGAAATTGTTGACGCAAAGACAAAGGATTTAATAACAACGATATAGAAATGATTTGAAAGAAGCAATCAAAAATGAGATTGAGGCTTGAAGAAATGACATTTATTATAKGACAACGAACCCCACACTAAGCTAAAAATTGGCAAAGTCCCGGCCTTGAATATCACGGCGTCAAGGAAATACTTGCAAAGAAATAAGTAAATTACAATAGATTTATTTTTCTGTAGTGCASTTTTGACGTGTGGCGTGTGGATATTTCAATATGGTTTTTTAATTTGAAGCCCGGGATATCCTTGTCAATAATTGTACAACAGTTATAGTTTCATCATCTAAAGACAACGCTCAAAAGACCAGACCATATATCTATCTGATTATAAACTGATCTGGGGTTGGCGAATCTAAGGATAAGCTCTTCCAGTCACCCCAGCGAAACTAGTTATCGCTGCAAAAGTCCATTATTACTGAAAACTCCACACCTGTGGGCAGCCAATTGACAAGGATAAATTGACTCTTCGAGACATCTTTTAATACCGAGCTGACCTTGGTGTAGTACGAGCCAGTTACAGTATATCCTTCAGTGGTAGAAATTCTAGGAAAGATTACAAGCAAGCATATGTACAGCGAATATTTTTGAACGTAAAGGGAGTTCATAAATTATCAAGAAACCAGGACCAATTAAATTGTCAATCAACCAGACAAATTAAAATTTGAATTTGTCTGGGTTGRAGAAGTGTAAATATAACAAGTTCGCTGAATGAAATTTCTGATGATAAAAATGATGAATGAAGCAAGGATCCCAACGCCACGTTAGAAGTCTTTAACTGTACTTGCCGGGTTTACTGAAGAAAACTGCATTATAYTTATTCAAGTATATTCAAGACTAAAACATCACACTGTTTTGAAGTTGTTCTTCTCGTTGGACGAAGAAATTCTCAAAAAAACGAACTGGTAAATTAAACTTCATTTGGTTTTATTCTATTTTTTCAAGAGGCTCCATAACAGCTTTTTTCAAATCGACAAGAAGAAAACATCGGCGCAAGTTGTAATGCATTGAAAACAATTGAAACTTRATTTTGACAAGACTTGATTAAAGTCTTCAATGAAGAAGAGCGTTTCTACAAACTTAGAAATTTCAATTTGAGCAATTAAACCATCAAAAGCAATCAAAAGCAATGTTTTCCCCGATCACCTCGGCAGCTGCTCGCTGATAACAATCTCTCTTAGTTAGGGATTGTTTTGTCCGGAATTGCATTCAAGTGGTAATGGTCGTCCCAGTATATATTAAAGCTTAACAAGAAAAGAGTTTCAAGATATTCTATTGGTCCGAACGAGTTATAATTTAAACGTGAAACAAAAACGCCTCGATTAGCAATTGCAAGTTGTGCATGGATATATCGCTCGACATTGGTTCAAGAGTTCTTCTTGATACGGAGCAACGCAACTAAGGATTAAGGTTTTTCAAAAATGGAAAACAATACTTCATTTCCAGTGAACAAATGTTTATTTATGCCTGAAGACTTTTATACTTTGATGAATGTTTACGATCAAGCTTTTCGATTATCAACATATGCTATCCTAGCTATTGGCAGTGTCCTTTCCGTTCTCATCGTCATGGTCAACGGTCTGTTCCTATCGACAATGGTGAAAACCCCAAAYCTTATTAGCCCTCCGAATATACTCCTCTGTTCCCTAGCAACGGCAGATGGTCTTACAGGGTTGCTAAGCATACCGCTGTGCATAGGCTGGGTCTTCGATATTCGGCTTTTGCATTCATGCGCGTACACTAAAACAACTCTCCTTTTTATGTTCATCATATTTGGTGCCTCCTTCTTCACTATCGTTGGTGTTTGTCTGGAGAGGTATCTTGCTTTATTTTACAGTCTTCGCTATGCTGCAATGGTGACTTTAAAACGGGTTTTACTGGCGTTATTACTCGCATGGATCTTCCCTTCCTTATTCAACAGTTTGATGATAATCATGGGGGACTTGTACGCTCTTCTTGCTGTCTCCTTGGTTAACCTTTTCGTTGGAAATACCATCATCATGTTCACATACTTTAGGGTCTTCAGACTTGTCAGACACCATCGGAAACAGATTCATGCCCAACAGAATCAATTCTGCTTGGTAGACTCAACCGCCCGTCAGCGCAAACATGCCATTACAATGGGTTTTGTCATTGGTTCCATGATGTGCTGTTATTTTCCTTTGTGTTGCTTTTATGCTGTGTTGATGATAAAAGGAATTCATCGTGGCATTGCCGTGCCTGCCTTGTACTGTATGATGGCAGCTTTGAGCAGCTCATTGTGGAATCCACTTATTTATTGCTGGAGGAACAGAGCTATCAAGATGGCAGTTTTAGAACAGCTTGCTCGTCTTAAAGGCTGCTTTACTGGACTACAAACCCAGCAAGTACAAGCATTATCGACTTAGTGTGGTTGTTTTTAGGATTTCTAGTAAAACTTAACTCTTATTCATGGCGATGAAACTGATGCGTATATGGGCCACAGGCTTAAAGTACCCTGTAAAGGATCGTTTTGCGCAAAACCTGTCGAGGCTATATATTTTTTTGGACATATTTTTAAAAGCTGAACTACTGACGTACCATCGAAGGCCGGGAACTTCTGAACCGTACATATACGTGTGAATAATTCTACACAACTMGCAAAACACGTGAATATCTGTAATGATAAATATTGTTGACATGAACAGGCATTACTTTGGTCGCTGACGTCCATGTCACGTGATCAATGCTGACAATAAACTTAAGTAAAGTGTAGTGGTGTCAAAACAACGCTGGACATTCAGATAATGCCAGGGACGTATTTGTATTTAATTGAGATTTCGYATTGTCTGTAATAAAAGCTCAATATGTTGGTTGGCGAAATAAAGTTTCACCTTTGAAAAAAGGGAAAAAGCAATGTGAGCAAGGTTAAATAATTTACAACATATAAGTAAAATAATCGAATAAAATAATCCACGCAGCTTGCAATTTTTTATTATTTATCAATGGTACAGTTGATATTTTTTTACGTTCTTCAATTCAGCTTACAAAGATTTATGAAAATGAAACAGAATTTGAAAGAATTGAAGTATTAGGATTCAGGTAAGGATTATAGTATTTCAATTTGTGGTACTGATTTTGGTGCTTTCAAATTTGAAATATTTCTACATAAATTCTACATTCTAATACCTTGAGCATATAAATCAATTGCAATCTTATATTAATTCATTATATTTGCAGTAAAGGTAGTGTCGCCGTTCATTTTCGTATCATCTACAAGGTCAAGGTCAARAGTCCAACAGCAAAACCACCATCAGACGTTAAAAAGATCCAAATTGCTAACGTTGTCTTGCGACGAGTCGAGGAAAGTGGCAGCATTGGAAGTATTAAAGTAAAAAAGGATTCTTTGAGGCCGCAAGGTATCTTTCAGTATTCTAATAGCGGTGTTCATTTGACACTTAACTCATCCATAAGCTGCTTTCAGTGTCAGCTCATATTCAAGATGGCGGACGCTTTTGGAACGTGACGTCATTAAGGACTATTGACCGAGTGTAGCCTGGGACGAGGCTCCCATGAATAGTAATATAACAAAATTAACCTCTTTTGATTGACTCAGTGTTGGCTTCACCCGTCGTACTTTTTTTTCGTTTCGTTTTATTTTCTCACAAAAGTTCTGCTGCTTTTGCTCAGTACTTGAGATGTCGTGTCTTAATTCAAGACATCTTRCATTTGCGCAGTAATGGACTCCTGATTTGCATCATTATTGTATACGAGTCCATTTACTTCATGTTATAGTGATTATGATTATGACTAATTATTAGTGATACCTCCCGAAGTTCGAAATCTTACGGCACTGAAGACCTCGAAATCGCATGTCACCATACAGTGGTCTCCCCCTGTTTATTCTGGTTTCTATGGCATCAAATGGTTTATCGTTGATTTGAGAGAGTTTGGCCAAGATTCTTCATTGGTTAAGGACACAGTTAAGTCTTTCGTCGATACGTATACCTGGACTGGACTGGACGCCGGGACTAACTACAAGATTACTGCATTTGGCAAGAACCATGTTGGTGAAGGCATACCAAGTGTCTTGGAAATTAGGACATTACCAGGTAATCGTCCTTTCTACCTCACGGATGATAGTTGTAGTCCCGTCCAGATTCCAAATTTTCAAACATAAAAATTAATTGTATGTTGTTTTGATGGCAGACTTCTGGGGTACGTTTGCTAAAATATTCACACCATTGGTCATTGTGGTGATTATTGCCATCGTTATCGCAACTCTCTACTTACGAAGACGGAGGAGACTTTCCAAGAGAGAAGTAAGCAAACTAAGAAGTTTGTAATATATAGTAATCGATAATCGATTGAAAAACAATCGATAAGACTTCGTTGAGTAATCGATAAGCAATCGAGAAAATAAGCTATTAACTAGACCTACGTTATCTTTATGTGGCTAGTATCGCATATTGAGGCTCATGCTATCGTTGAGCAATCGATAAGCTGCAATCGAGAAAATAAGTTATTAACTAGAACTACGTTATCTTTATGTGGCTAGTATCTTATATTGAGGCTCGAGCCCATGCTATCGCTTTTACTGCGTGTCATGCTAGGAACAATTTCCAAATTTTGCGTTTAATCACGAGATATAAATATTTTTAAATATCTAGTGTGACGAGCTAAGTATCCAAGGAAAAACATTTGGGGACCCTGGACTAGAACTAGCAGAACTACCAAGAAAATGGAAAGACATTTCCAGGAAAAACCTTTTTCTTGGAAAAGAGCTGGGTTCTGGTGCGTTCGGTGTGGTGTTTAAAGGTGTCTTGTCTACTGAAAAGTCTGAAGAAGAAGGGATATATTGTGCTGTGAAAATGTTAAAAGGTAGGTAAATTAACTAGCCTTTTGGTGGGCTTTATTGTTCATTGAGGAAACCCGAAAAAACGGTATGTAGACACCGCGACAACATTTCTTTCAGCAGCTTGTTTTCTTTTAATTGCACTATTCATTTATTCGTTCTTTTATCAATTCATTCATGCATTCATTCCTTATTTCAATTTGTGTTTTAAAGATGGGGCATCTGAAGAAGATTACAGAGATCTCTATAATGAGCTCTTGATCATGTCATCAGTCGAAGAGCACAAAAACATTGTTAACTTGTTAGGAGCATGTACTGAAAGCGGTAAGAAAGACAGACAGTTATTTTACTAGCTCCATGAATAGAAAAATGGTGCATAAAGTAACGACGCACAAATTTTGCGTGGAGCATAAACCAATGCATTGGCTTGGGATTCCTGTGGTTTTGGGCTTCCTTTTGTTTTTGCTCGTGGCCAGGTCTCTAAGTGAAATTGAACATGGCCGGCATACATGTTTTGCTCGTTTTCTTCAATATCTGAAATCTTTAGACTTTTAATAGGGAAGAATATAAAAATATTTGAACAAAGGTAAGTTTAAAGCAATTACTCAGGCCTCTTGCAGCACTAAAAAAAAACAAATAAACCAAATACATGAGCTAAATTTTTGATGTTGGATGCTTTTGTCTTCAGGGGGTCCATTGTACGTTGTTGTGGAGTTCGCTGAGAATGGTTGTCTATTGGATTATCTGCGCAAAAACAGATCCGAAGATTCACCAGATCAAGCTTCAACACTCTCCAACAGCGAAAAGTTGACTTTTGCTTCAGAAATCGCAAGTGGTATGGACCATCTGAGTCGACAGAAGGTTTGATGACTTTATATTCCAGTTAAGCTTATAATTTTACGAAAAGCTTGTTGGAATTGAATTAACACTAATTATTCAGATTACCTCTCGTTATAAGCATACTTTCGGGACCGTAACTGTGTCCGCAATGCGAAAGTTGACTGTATTTGTTATCTTTCTATTATTTTTAGTGCGTCCACCGCGACCTTGCAGCAAGAAACGTTCTCCTTGGAAAAGACATGGTTGCCAAGATAGCTGATTTTGGTCTCGCCAGAGATGTATATGAAAGGGGATTTTATGAGAAGTCTGTAGCAGGGGTAGGTTTCAGTGCTAATGTGTCAAAACAAAAAACAAAAACAACGACACAAACACGTACTGATTGATTGACTACAAAAGTGTTTTGAACCGTTGGTAAAATTGACATTTCAATTTGTGCTCAATGTTTTAGGGTAAGCTGCCAGCGAAGTGGATGTCCATTGAGGCTTTGGAAACTATGATTGCAACGACAGAAAGCGATGTGTAAGTAAACAGGGTTTGCTTGGTTCATCACTCTTGTTGGATATCTCTTTAATATTGATGAAGACGTGTCCACAGTGCCTACGATTTTGTCATGTTATATTGCTTCTCTTGAAGCTAGGCAGAACAATACAGAAATGCTGCGAAAACTCATTGTAAACAATTAGTTTAAAAACTAACTGGCCTGAATATTCTACTTTATGGGAATGTTTGTTCGTACATCGTTTTGAGTCTGTATGACTAATATGCTATGTGGTTGTTTGTTTGTTTGTATTTTCGTTCTCTTTAATTATATTTATTCTTAGGTGGTCATTTGGTGTTCTGTTATGGGAGATTGAGAGTGGTGGTAAGATTATCCAGTCATTGATCATTCATTATTCATTCCTTCATGCATTTGCTCAACCAATTATTTACCTATTTGTATCATTTGTCCATCCACACATTCATTATTGTTCGTTCATATGGCTGTCAGCACTCTTCATTCCAACTAAACCTTTCTAGTAGTAATAGTCTCACCTTCGTGTAGGAAAAATGCCGTACGCTGGATTGGCCTTCACCGAGCTCGTCAAAACTCTCAAGGACGGCGTAAGACTACCAAAGCCTTCAAACTCTCTCGAAGAACTGTAAGTATGACATTTTCACTGATTTCTCCAAAGAACTTTGATGAACTTTCCACCATTTTGTTTTTATTTCGTTTTTCCGCTGACCGGATGATCACTGGCGCGCAAGATGACGTTTTCGACTATTCATTGTCGTTCTATTTCACTCTTAGCTATACCATAATGAAAGACTGTTGGCATGCCAACCCCAGCCAACGCCCAAAGTTTAGCGACTTGACCTTCATTTTGGAAAATCTTCTGACTGCGTATCTTGAGGACTGACTGCGCATGACTAGGACCAGGAGTCACGTGATTAACTAGAATACTCCCGTCTATCTCTGAGTGATTATGTTTGATTAGTGAGTAGGTCCCTTTTGGACTCAAAGTATTGATATAATTCAGAAGTATTTTTTTGCCGGAAAAGTTTAAATTCATATAAGATGTTTGTTCTTAATAAATTTTATAGAAAAAGTTTAAATATTAACGTTACAGGATATAAAGCCGTTAAAATAAGACAAAAAAGTAATTTAGTGATAATCTTTTAAGCTTATTAAAAACATAACGAACTTAATGTTTAACAAATCTGTCTGATCTCTGCTGAAAAAAAAACTAAAACACAGTGAAATGTAGAAATAGAGGATACTTTACATGGGCGCACGAGGRTCACTGGAAAAAATCGCGCGCCATAAAGGTTGTAAATTTGATGGAAATATGATGTAATTGTCCAAAATGATGTAAATTTGATGGAAATGATTTACATCAAATTTACATCATTTTGGACACTTACATCATATATACATCAAATTTACAACCTTTAAAGCGCGCGATTTTTTCCAGTGCGATACGGATTTTATCTTCGAATGTTGAAAAGATTTCTCACGAGTGAGCGTGTTCTGTTTATCATATAATTATCAATGAATGTAAATTATGTTTTAAAATAACTTTTATTTACCTCCAATATATAGAGATACCACGAATGTGTAATTGTCACTAGTGAAATTAACAACTTTACGTGATGGAGAAGTATAGTTATTTTATAGATAATTATCTGATAATTGAATTTCTTATATGGAAAATTTGGAACATGCCATTTCTTTATGAAATGAAGATSGTTTAAGACATGTGCTTAAGTCAGAACAAACGAGTGCAGAGAAACAAAAGATTGGAGAAATTTACACGGACTTCGGGGCATGTGATACTCGACGTTTGAAACTAATGGGTGTTTACAGCCGGTCAGCAATAAATCAGTTGTTCTTCCGGACATGCTGTGAGACGCAGGGCCTGCATTAAAAGTCTTCAACTCGCCCCAGATTAGACGGGAATATATTACTTTAAAAACCTCGGGCTTTATTTTATGTTCATCATCTATTACTGACTTCTTAAATCACCAACATAAAGGTGTAAAATTAAAAAAAATCTCATTTATGATATTTGCTAAAATCGTGTAAAATTGTTTACAATGAAAATGTCAAAATAAATACAATAGATTAAGCTAAAATAAGAAAAAGAGAATATTTTTTAATGAGAATATTTAGAGATTATGTACTGCTGATACACATAGAGGGATTTCCAAGTAATTTTGTTTAATCTCCAGTTTGATTTCCGAMCGATTTCCTAAATAGCTGCAAGGGGCCCAGAAACAATAATATCTATTTTAAACGTTTAACGACTAGTTAAGCTGTTTCAATATGGATTATTTTTCCTACGATTGGGAATTTTTTATAAGTTTGTGCAGAGGGTCGAAATWGACTCATCTTTATGACATTCTGTTTGCTGAAAGATGCCTGATGTTAGTTCTTATGACAAATAAATAACATTCAATATCGATTATCATTTTTCTTATGCAATTATTTTTGACATTTTGCAGCCATGCGTCGTGAYCTATTTTTCTTGTAATTCTTTCACTGGATTTTTTCTAAATTAAACCTTCCCTAGCTGTTGTTGTTGTTATTGTTGTCGTTGTTTTTGTTGTCGTTATTGTTGTTGATGATATATTGCCAGAAACTCGAAAAGTCGAGCCACGAAAAGCTCAAATTCAGAGATCATATTTGCATTTACACCAGAATTGTACATTTGCTTGCATTTATAGAACTTCCCCTGGATCGAGCTCTACATGACATTTTTTTCAATATCGAGGGTCCTTTGCCAAAAAGCAATTCTTTCTTTATCGTTTTGTCGATTCATAGCATGTGATCGGAAAGCTTTCAATTCTTCGCAAAATACATCAACCCTACCTCGGCAGGGGATAAAAAATACTGTCAATAGCGCAAGTAAAAAATCAATTGATGCTGTAAAAACGCTTTATATAGCTGTTTTTATGAAAAAGTGAAAAAGAAATTTTTCTATGCCTGCACCTGGTTTCTTTAACTTAGTGTGATTACGTTAATGTTAATTACATGAAATTTGACAATGTTCATTGAATAGCATTGAATTTGGTTTTCATTTCAAAAAGCAGACTTACAATTCCTCGTTCCAAATGTTTACGATATCAGGGATATGAGGATCCGTTTTATTAATTTGACAATTTAAATGAAAGAAAAACTATATCTATGCTTAGATATTTTAATAAAAAAAGTCTTTGTGTGAGTGGTTTAGAGATTGGTATTTCATAAACACACTACTTTTCTAAGGCAAAATAATAAATTATACATACATGATTTAAMGATTAGGGAATTACGTTTAACTCGCAGCATTTTGTACTGATGCAGTGGATTTTAAGGACACAATGCAATACAGTTTTGACATTCGGGTTTGGCAGGCCAACTTCTTGTCATATTTAAAGCAGAAAAAAAGCAAATGTACCTTCAGAAAATTATCATTCACTGAATGCTAATTGATTTTAGGGAGAAACTTTACGAATCAACTGATGAGCAAATGAGGCTATAAGCGCTTTAGGCATTAATTGGTAAAAAAACGAAACGAAAAGAAAAAAACGCAGGCAAAAACAATTTACTTGATCGTTTCACCYGTGTCAAAATTGTATTACTTTTAAGACAGATTAGAAGGACTTCAGCCAGGATTAAAAATACATTAGAATAGAGAAAGTTTAGCTTTTTGACTTGAGTATTTTTTGCACACAATATGAATATCCTTTGCAGGTGAAGATTTGTTAATGTGCGYGGGCTTTGTTATCTGTAAWGTTCACTCTGWMTCTCACRAGTATRCCTTTTTCTATGATATGTAAGATTAATTAAAAAAATCCATGACAATTTGCAGCGTTAGAACATTTTTAATGGGTTCTTATTTACCTACTTACAATTTATGCCTCGTACAATGACAAATTATGTTTTCTCTTGTTGAGTGTGCTTCCGAAAAGAAGAAATGTTTTTTATTAAAATGACACAATAACTCTGTTAAGCTATGTTTACAATCTCACTACTCAAATATATTGCGTTGCTTTCTTATTATCAATTTCTACTAAACAAATAGAGCGATATTAGTTCTGTGGCATTTGTATTTACAGCACGCAATCTAAATGGAATTCCTGATACATTTTAATATAACAGTAGCCAGATATGTAGATATGTAGATACTTTGGTCTGCGGTTCAACTCCGATATGTTGACATTTCTGTYTTACAAGGTCTGCTCAAGATACATGACATAGTCAATACTGAGTACTGATCAGTACCAAGTAGAAGTTCTGTGAGCTATTGACGTTTCAGCATTCGTCTGAGTTCCCGCTGAAAGTCAGACTTGATCAAAGAATAAACAAAAAAGTTTGGCGCCGAATTTACGTATCGCAACAGCACCATTGAGATAAACAACTTTGAAGATTCAGTTTCCTTACACTTAGGWATTAGATAAAAACAAATTAGCCAATAACAGAGAAACCCATTACATACTAGAAAAATAAATACAACGACTCCTACAGCAATTGTCCCGTTATATGAGTTGTGCAAGCGTCTTTTTTGCTCGCTTCGTGAGCTGCCGGAGTTMGTAGACGTMGAATCCATGCTGACTCCAGTCGATGATTCGCAGTGACCTGTCAGGGCTCGAATCTGCTTTCGATGCTCCTTCGCCACGAATATAATCCGAATGTACGCTACCAAAACAAAGACATTGGGTAACAAGATGAARCCAAATATATAAAAGATCTGATAGTATCCTAACTGCTGCTGYTGACTGGGTGGRTTTACGATCTTGAGCACTAGATATGGAATTCGCTGCAGAATTGGMAGAATCCATGCCACWGCAATGGTAATTGCACAGGACGATGCTTTGGCAAAGTTGGAGTGCTTGAAGGGGTGAATTACTGCAATGTAACGRTCTAGTGTCAAAGCACAGAGATTTGTACTTGAAGCAATCAGAAATATATTCATGAAGAACTGGAGACCTGCAAAGACATCCTGTTCATTCTTCACGTAGAACGAGTAAATGAAGAAGGCAGGCGCGTTGAAGGCTCCAACGAAAAAGTCWGCTACGGCCAAAGAGAGTATGAACCAATTTGGGGAAGGCTGAGATCGAAGACGTCGCCGAGAGGAAATRATATAAATAACAAGACCATTTCCCAAAATAGTCACAAATGCAAACAACCCCCTTATAATCCAGTACCAAGTTGGTCTTTCTTTGGTAGCGATGGCACTCGTTGTTCCATTATCGAGTTGGCTGTTATTGAGAGGAAAAGGCGTCGTCGTTTGAGCAAAGATCGTATCGTTTAAAAAACTAGACATGATCTGCCCCAMTTCTCACTTCTCRACTAAGAATTGCACGCACACCACGACGCGAGGAAGATAATGCGCTTATTGGCATCCACACAAAGTTTAATCTTGATCTAGACTACACCTGTCTTCAATCAATTCTGAAGACTTAAGTGACTTTTTCCCTCGTGTTCTCATTCATGCTGTTCGAAAGGAAAACAAATGMAACTCCTTTATAAAACTACTTGGTTTGTGGTTTGTATTCAGTCTCATGACGTCAAACGCCATTTAAGGCTAATAACGTACAACTTATTAGCAAAACCAAAACAAACCGTTATTCCGTGTAATAACCAAACAATATTCCCAGCGAGGAACGTTTTAGTTTGTTCTTAGCTATTTCTGCAATCCAATTGTCTTTTATTAAAAATGCGATTAATATAAAGGGGAAATTTTTAAAAGGTAAAGAAGACGAATTTCGTGAGATAATGTCATGCACAATTCATGCTTTACTCCAAGCAGTAAGTGTATTTTTAGACTCCAAGTGCAAAGTTACTCTACCATTATGCATCATGTCAATTAACTTACAGCGAAACGAGGAAATCATGCATAGAACAGCCAATTACATTAAACCTAAACTTGTGATTTACTTATCCATGAAATTCAACTCCATTTAAAAATTCACCGATTAAAGTAGTCTAGGCCAGTAAACTTTTGTCAAGATATATATCATCACTTCATTTGGTTTTTCGTGACAACAATATCCTTCATATATTGGAACTTCACGGACGAAGGACAACAATTTCCTTTTCTTTTTTTGTCCTCTGTGACGTAGCTTTTCTACTCTTTGTGTAAACAGAACTTTATTGACTAATGAAGCAGTGCTGTTTTTCTTTTATTTGTCAACGTTTGTCTGCTTTAACGTTGGACTGCCTATGGGAAGAGACACAGGCAGCCTAGCAAACAAGAACAGATCTTGTCAAGGACCAGACGTTTTCTTCTTTTCATTCAATTTTGTATGTCCAGCTATATAATATGAAACCAGTTTTGGCAGAAATGAAAGTGATTTTTTGATCAATTGCTCATATATCCAAACTTATCCTCAGTCTAGCTTGTCATATCCTTAATCCTTTACATACGGTGCTCGCTAAGTTTTGTACTATATATATTTTGTGTGCAAATTACTTTAACAACAATCATAATTCATTAGTGGTCTCTTCTAGAAATTGTTCTTAGCTCATTTCATACTCTTCGTTTCCGGAAAACTCTGATTTGGACTATTATCGACGTATTAATAAATGTGCTTTTACTCAAACAATTTTTCTCTAGTTCATTTTTCTCCTACAAATATAAGGAAGTTCCAATCCACAAGGGCCGTCAATCCACTTATGGTTTAAACCTGACTCCAGTGAGAAAGCAACACAGTCCGAAGTCATATAGAGGTTTTTWGGGWATCCWKTGCTCCAAWATGAGAAGGACAAATGKGACTCGTCACTAAAGGTGAAAGTTTYTTCTTTTGAGAGATCATTCAGTCCTGTCCACACAGCATCGCGTTTATTAAATCGACCTATGAAATAAATTGATATATCAAGAATGTAGGGCCTGCAAAGTTCGCTTTAGTAATCAAATCATTTGATGTATAATCCGCAAAAATAAGCAAAAAATGATACCCTATCCCAGACTTGGAGCTCCATAAAAAGAACCCTATCGAGCGGCACATACCTGTATATCAAATATAGGGGAGTACCTACCCACCCTCCCCGGGTGTATAATTCATTTGTTGCTCATATCTGCAGAAAAGTTAGAGGCCAAGCATGTGTTAACAGTGACTTATTCGGGTTTGGACAACACTGGTACTATTACAGCGATCTTAACGGGTGCTGTCCTTTAACTATGTCAATCAAATCCCCCCCCCCCCCTCAAGAAATATTGACTGGGCTCTCAAAAAGCGAAACCCAACACCTTGATACGCACTTGCTCCCAGTCCCAGACACTTCGTCCATTCACAGCCAACTTAAAGCGATATAAAACGAATTTGCTGTTKCTCTATAATAATATGGTACTACTTAATACCTATTCGTTCTTCTATCATCTTGCTTATTCTGATCGGCCAATTGAATGCTGCCAGTTCTCTTATGTACGCGTGAAGGACTTTACTCGAGTTTCTATCCAGWCCGATATCATATTGATGATTTGTAGACATAAGAGTCGAGGAATTCATGTTAAAAGCTTCACTCGCTTCTTGCTTTCCATTGATGAAAATGGCCATGGTAAGTCTTTCGGCTCCYTCATTTGACCATGAAGCAAGGACATGAGTCCAAACATTGAAAGTAAGTGACCTTTTGAATAATGAGATATAATGATTATTTGACATTGGCACTGATTAGATGAGTCAATGATCTACATCTACCTATTGGACGTCAACGTTGTGGTATTCGTAGAATCAAACATCAATTTGAAGTGTACTTTTCCGTCCTTGTCGATGTTTAAGGCGAATTGGAAAGGTGCAGACCAGTCCCCGTAGACCAAGCCCTCAGAAGCAGGTGTTAATAGTTTGACCCAGGCCCCGAAGGTAAAGCCTCGATGTGCGAGACTAATAGGCTGAGTGGTTGCATAGTTCTGACTGTTTCCGTCAAGGTACAGGGCTTTGTATCCATCGACATCCTTGAGAGTAACCGCTCCGTGAAGACTTGAGGGAAATGTTAAAGATAGACAACAAATTTAACCGTCAATAAACGAGTAAATTAGTTAATAAAACACCGCAAAACCAAACAATAAACATCTACCTTAAGTCAGCGTCTGAGATTCCATCCAGTTTCAAAAACATCATTAACTTAGTATTCGTAGAATTTCCTGAGACAATGAGACACAAGCACAGACATCAAAAATCAAACAATAAACATGCATATTATATTATGGCGAAGNGCACGTTTCGTGCAATTGTCAACTAGTTCATTTTTCTTCTGCAAATATAAGGAAGTTCGAATCCACACGAACCGTCCAACCACTTATGGTTCAAACCAGTCTCCAATGAGAACAAAACGCAGTCTGATGACTTGAATCCGTTTTTTGGGTATCCAGTGCTCCAGTGCGTGAATGACAAAGGGGACCCGTCACTAAAGATGAATGTCTTTTCTTGGGAGAGATCGTTCAATCCTGTCCATACAGCATCAAGTTTCTCAAATCGACCTGTGTGGCAAATTTTAGATTAATCAATTAAGAATGTAGACTAACTGGCCTGCAAAGAGAAGCTCATCTTTCTAATCAAATCCATTTCACATCTTGTCAGAAACGTGTTAATACACGCAGCGATTCGTTATTTTGTATACAAATATGGTATCAATTTATACCTATTCGAACCAGTACTCTCTCAGTTGTTATGGCTGGCCAAGAGAAAACAGTCAGCTCTCTTATATAAGCGTGAAGCACTTTACTTTCATTTCTGTCCAGTCCTATATCATATTGATGGTTCGTGGGCATAAGAGTTGCGTGCTCCATGTTCAAAACGTTTGTCGCCTCTTGCTTTCCATCGATGAAAATGGTCGTGATCCTATCTCGATATGACCATGAAACAAGGATATGATTCCAAACATCGAAATGGACTGATCTTTTGAATAATGAAATTTGGATGATTATTCAGCGATTATTACACAAACATATGTCTGATTAATTGGGTGAATGGTAAATAATGCTAATCTACCTCTTGGCCGTTAACGTTGTGGTATTTGTAGAATCAAACATCAATTTGAAGTGGACTTTTCCCTCCTTGTCGATCTTTAAGGCGAATTGGAAAGGTGCAGACCAGTCCCCGTAGAGCAAGCCCTCAGAAGCAGGTGTTAATAGTTTGACCCAGGCTCCGATAGTGAAACCTCGCTGTATGAGTTTCATTTGTTTTGTGGTTGCATAGTTCTGACTGTTTCCATCAAGGTACAGGGCTTTGTATCCATCGACATCCTTGATTACTGCATCTCCGTGGAGGCTGGATAGAACCAATTTATAAAAAGATAGCAATCAATAGGCTACCCCCAGAGAGAGAATAATGTATCCAACGACACTTGATCGAAAGTAGCCGCTCCATGAAGATCTCGTGAGAGAATTGTTTAAGATAAAAACAAATTTGATTGTCAAGTCAAGTAGTAAATCAGCTAATCAAAACAACAACAACAAAACAATCAAATAAACAGTAAATATCTACCTTAAAGCAACGTCTGAGATTCCATCTAGTTTCCAAAGCATTATTAATAAGGTATTCGTAGAATTTCCTGATGAAATAAGATATATACAAACACAGATATTCAAAGATCATTGAATTCATTAAAAAAAGACAGGGAAAGGAAAGTAAGAAAAAAAGGAAAAACTCCAAACAATTCGACGAATACTGAAAAGAGTCTCCAACAGGCATGGAGTACTTTAAAAAAAATTAAATCAACATCCATATTCTAACACTGACCTCTTGACGCATTATTGAGAAGTTTGTTTGATATGAAGTCCTGCTCTTGTTGACTATGAATCGATACCAGGTCTCCATTGTGTGCTCGACATTTGTGTCTGGCCTCACTCCAGGTCACTCGGTCTTCAAACAGCCGGAATTGAGAAGAGTTAAAAGTCTTCCACTCCTTTGATCCCAGACATATTTCTGTGCTGCAACCGTTTCTTGACTAGAAATGGCAAAATAAGAACATATTAATGTAAAAAGTCTTGGTTTCTATTTTTACGAAGCCCACGTCTATAAATGCAACTGGCGTTTTCGTCGTGGTGGTGAATATTACGCTTCAAATTGGTAGCGCATTGATAGCGCATGCGTTACAGTCTCAGTTTCCACRGAGATGTCAAAATAAACCAATCAGCGATTTTTGGTAGAGCCTGCGTTGCAGATGGACTGCAGTCGACTCAGAATGAAAACAAAATGGCTGACAGACGGCGACAAAAAGTTGTCTCGTTTCAAATGGTTCTAAAATGTAGCTAAAATGCTCTAAAGAGCTGAAAATCTTACAAAATCAACTGATTACCATCCAAACGACATGGATTGAGGTATATAATTCAAGATTAGCGGATGATTCGTGCAGAAATGACTGGGCATTTTCTACCGCCGACTCGAAGAGCACTACTTCTTCGTCACACAAGTGTTCGATGTCAAACACAAAATCTTCAAAAATAAGAAATCACATGGATATTTAAGGTTCATACTTTGACAGAAAACAATCATTCGATGGAAGAAAGCATATCAAACCTCATCTGAAAAATATTGATGCCATTTTCTAAACTAACGATGTGTTTGAAGTTCGGAAAACTGCACGTGTGAGCTTTACTGAACTCTGTATACAAAATCTATATTGTGTATGAAGCATTTTAATTCTCTATTGTTTGTTTTGATGATTGTTTAACTTGAAAAACTTAGACAAATCCAAAAATATGAACTGTCATTAGAAGGCTAAGGTACACCTTTATGATGGCACAGAACGCCAGATTTACAAATTAATGAAAAACACCAAATAAAAAAGAACAGAAACACAAGATACAGATACATGATTAAAATGATCAAAATATTATTCAAAGTTATACTGCCAAGACTGTACCGTTTCTATTGTTTATGTGACCTATATGACCTATGAGCTATTTTGAATAATATAGACGCTCTTGAGCGTAAAGTCGAGCTAGTTATTTTGAAAAACTGAGAAAGACATGGTATCCAAAGAATTTACTTAGAATTCAGTTCGGTAAAAAATTATGATGTAATAAATTGATAACATTAACTTAATTCTGTCTTGACTTATTACAAACAAAGACTATATTGTGAAAATGAAACACCATTGTCACAGGAAGCCCACGTAAGCGATCCATGATCGTCTAGTTTTTATCTAAAACACCAACAGAAGACTAGAGTACTATCAACTAGAATTGAAGACAACA